TGATATTTAATTAGCATTCTGGGACTAGATCCTCTCAAGCGTTTTAACTTGTTAGAAAATTAATATCATAATTGATTATGTTCTTATGCAGAAAGATTTGAGTGATCGCAATGGAATGAGTGTATGAAATGTGCATGAATGTGTGCGCGCGCGCGCGTGAGAGAGAGAGAGAAGTGAATTGTATATGACTTGTATTGTGTATGTTAATACATCTGTATATTGTTGCGTATTACATTGTTTGTAACGAGGTCATCTCCGATTCGATTACAATCTTTTTAGGAAAAAACTAACTGCTGGATAATAGTATTCTCAGAGTACTAAGCCAAGCAGAACAACAAGTCATTATGATACTAAAATGATGTAAATATGATTTCAAAATGATTATTAAAAGTCAATCATTTAATCTTAAAACTCAATCATTTCCAATTCATTTTAATATCATTTTGACGTTATCGTGACTTCTGCTTGGGAATCGGATGACTGACAGAAATTTGAACCTGACAACTTTAGTATCAATCTGTCAATCGAAATTCTATATTTTTTAATATTCTATCGCCTAGTAACGATACTATATTTTTCTTACACATGCTAATATAAATAATAGATAATAAACATGCTAGAAATTTGGCAGATTGTCAATAAATTCTCAATCAAATTTTCGCTCTTAGAGAGTGAAGAATCACTCTTAGAGATTAAAAAATCACTCCAAGCGAGAATCAATTCTCTGAATAATTTTACTTTCCGAAAGCAAGACTGGACTACTTTCTGAAAGCAAGACAATATACATAAATATTAAGTTTAACCCTCTACATTCAATCTTGACGAAATTAGGCTCATTTGTTTTTACACAAAATGAACGAATATGGCAGAGAAAAGCGTTGCTCTGCCTCGCGAAGTGAGATATTAATTATTAAAGTTGACTTTTTAGGAAATTCACTCTTTGAAGGACTGGCGCAACTATCACTTTTGTTGGAGTGAAATTTCATTCCCAAAAATTTAGACTGTAAGCTCGGAATTTGTCGACAGTCTGTTGACATACTATATGCATTAGCTGGCGGAAAAAGCCGAACAGGATTTGCGCGCGCGAGCAACCGAATAAGAGCTAAAAATCCTGTTTCTATCGCTAATCTAATGACACAATATATCAACAGGTTTTGTCATATTTCTGACGTTTTTTTGCTAACATGGTCAAATATAGACTTCATGTGAAATTTATAGCTTTTCTGGCTTTAAAAATTGGTAGCATACTCTACTCACAAATTAGTGCTCGAAATTTGTTTTTGCAGATTTAGCCATTTAGAATGTAACCAAAGTGAGGAATCTAATAGAATTCGGTTGTATTAATGCATATTAAATATATCGCTGTATACTGTACGCTGTGATTTAATCTGAGCATGAAAGTGAAATGCAGATATTTCAAATTATAAAATACATATTTTATTTAACAGCACAATAAAATATATTGAAGATTTCACGGTTTAATCTGTTTCTATATTTATATTAAACACATATTTTTATCTCAATTTATATACAACGGTTTTAATGTGCACTGAGTGTGTTATTATATATCGAATTTGCTATTAAATTCCTTGGTTACATTCCAGATAGCCAAGCCTGCAGAAGCAGATTTTGATCAGAGTATGCTACCAATTTTTTAGCAGAGTATCTATCAATTTCTAATGACAGAAAGGCAACAAATTTCATATAGTGTAATATTTGACGACGTCGATAAACTACCAGAAATATGACGAAACCTGTTGACATGCTATACCAGTAGAAGGCGGCAGAAATACAACAGGATATGCAGTTCTTGTTCGATTGCGCATGCAAATCTTGTTCGATTCTTCTGTTATATTCTTTGTCAGTTTGTTCGACACAATCGAGAAATTTGATAGATAAAATGACGTTACATCGGCAAATTCTGCGATTTTTTCGAACAAAAAAAAAGATCGAAGTTTCAAAGTTATTCGTAAGGATTTCTAGGAGAGTTTTTTGATGTTTTTTTTTTTCAGATACGAGGACGACTAATTGGTTATTGATGAGTTCGCCTTTCCCCACGTTGTTTATCTGCCTCAGTTATATATACCTTGTCAAGGTACTCGGACCAAAGCTCATGGAGAATCGGAAACCTTTCCAACTTAAAAATACCTTAGTATTCTATAACCTGTTCCAAGTGATCTTTTCCGCATGGCTCTTCTATGAGGTGAGACTTTGTCGCCCGTTTTCTCACGATATCAATTGCTCAATGCTCGATAAATTAGATGTTTGAAAACATTTTTACCTGATGAATTTTCCAGGACACATAAAAAAATCGAATAGTTCTTGTTTTATTTCAGCCGTTCCTCGATTCACCGATTATTTTACTAGGATCAAATATTTTGTCTTTATTATATAATCTAACTTTTAAACTTTCAGAGAGAAAGAAGCTTGCAACAAATACTTGGATAAATCAGACGTTTAAACAAATTTTGTCCGATAAATTTGGATTCCTATTTTTGTTCTCTTTTTTTTATACTAGATTAATTCGGCAAAGAATCGGCATAAAATTTTTACGACATAATATCTGATAACACTAATTTACAAATTTTGAATAATTTTTAATACAAGAAAAGGAAACTACTTTTTTTTAAGTATTTATTAAGACGTTAAGTTCGAATCTCCCACCAGAAAAATTCTATTAGGCCGAATTTTTTAAATATAGGCATGTCATTTTTAAGAAATGGCATTTTTTTTTTAATAATTTGGGTGCGACAGTGACGAGCAATGCGTATGTTTCCATCAAGATTTAATAATAATTGAGAAACGTTATCAAGGAAAACATACTAAATTTAGCATGATTACTGCTGGACTGTGATATATGAAACCGATTCAAAATCATACAAAAAAAAAATTAAACTATTATATTTTGGAGAAAATGTTTTTTTTTATATCCCAAAGCCGGATTTAATGGAAATATAAGTACAAATTAAAAGGATTCTTGTTTATCAAATAAAAAAATAAAAAAAAAATTATTTTTTTTATTTGATGAAAATATTTCGATGGCAGATTCGGGCTCAGCATTGAAAATTATTTTAGAAATAGTCTTTATATGCCCAAAACTAGTAATGAATTAATTATCTGCGCATATTTTTGCTGAATTCTCTCTATTTATATTCGAACTCAAAGATTCATTAGCTAATCTCACATTGGCTTTCGAACATATCATCAATCGGTTTGGCGGCACAGGTATTCGTCGCGATGCGGTCGAAAACGGATGATAACGGTCTGAGGGTACGGTACGCCGCTATTTACAGTTGCGCGATCTAACAATTCCATGATTTTACTGCAGTCACTGGAACGCGACATCCAGCGAAAACTTTCTATCTTCTTAATAGTTGCGATTATGTTCGATTACATCGCCCGCAAACGAATATGTTTGTCATTGGTTCCCCTGTTGAATGAGTTTATATTTCGTGACTACAAAAAGGGAACAGCTAACGCCTTTAACCCTCTAGAGACGAATGTTGCATATTTGCATTTTATTTTAAAATTAAATTCGGGATCTGTGCAGCATTAGTTACACTAATAGCTAAAGATGGAAATATATGTAATATTGAGCACTAAAATATACTTCTAATTACTGGAAAAATTATAGTCAATATACAGTTTTAGCTAAAAAATATTAGGCACTTATGTTTTTTCATTTATCTGGAATTCTTTTATCTGCATTGTTACCTATTAAATTCTGGCATTATACATAAATTTAAAGGATTCTTGAAACAAAAAATAATTTACAGCAAATGTCATGAATCAATGTTTGAGCTAAAACTTTAAATAATGGTTAATAAGGATAATAATACCTAATATTTTTGGTCAAAACTGTATATCGAGAATATAGATATCCACAGATTCTTTACTCATAAATAATTTTAGCAAAAGCAATAAAAAAATTATTTTTTAATGACATGATAATGCTAGAGGGTTAATCAAGGGCCCTTTGAACGTAATTATCGAAATTTACAAGTTTACGACATCGAAGACTTTCATATATATACTGGTACAATATTTTTTAACATGTAATTAAATTTATTATACATGTTTCGAACGAGTTCTTTTATACCTGTCGCGATAAGAATTGAGCAACGAAAATATATTTGTAACTTCGACGATCGATTTCGTATCACGGGAATGCGCCAATGACAAAGATGTGCGAAGCACGATTTACATTTCTTTCGCAACACAGTGTCTGATGGGCGGATGGTGGGACCACTATAGTTTCCGCTGCCAGCCGGTGGATTATTCCAACAGCTCCACCGCGATAAGGGTAAGTGTGCCTAATCGATCTAACCCTAGCCGGACCGTTCAACGAGACTGCCTCCCAACTATCTCAACGAGACGACTATTGCAACAGAAATCACCGAACCACATCGGGTCCGCCTGATATCATGGATATTCATCTATAAATATGTATATTTTTGTAGATTGGCCGTTCCTTATCCGGAGCGGAGGCTTGCGGCAGGGGCAAATATTCCTGGAGCCGTGCCATTTAGGTGTCCAAGAAGAGCTTATGCTTCCTTTTCGTCTAGTATAGAGAACCTGGCATGTTCCTCCAGTGCCTCGATCTAATCTTTTTCCGCTTCGACATCCGCTATCTCAACTCTCGATGAAAAATCAAACGCCGACAAATCAGCTGAGTGTTGAACATGTCGCACTCCCTTTAGGGAAGAATCGCAATTGTAAAATCACGCATCCTTCAGTCTTTATCGATTTCTTGACCGAATCGATTCTTTGACCGAAGGAATACATCGTTCCGTTTCTTTGCATTTCTTTCGCGAGTAACTCCTTTCCTTTTATCCAGTTGCGACTTTTTTCCCGTTGAAGGTACGAGGCGCGGCATCGCTCGACATTCTCGTGCGAGAGTTCAACATAAATATTTTATGTAATATGCGTAGAAAGTAGTTATTAAGCTTGTACGCAATATACATCTGCCATCATACGCCTATTTTCTTTATCTCTTTATTGACCGATGGCGAATGGCCTTTGGACGAATGTGGTTGCAGATAGGGATATCCGGATGGCTGACTGGAGACTATTCTCTAAGATGTCAACCTGTAGACTACAGTGACAGACCCGAAGTGCTGAGGGTGGGTGATTAACAGAGTTATCCTTGCCATGATCTCTTTCTATTCGTATTTATAATGTTTATATCTAAGCTGACCACACACGATGCATAATTTCTTGTATGATAGGCTTACATGCTACTGTGCTTGTTCTAATGCTGATTCTATGACAAGAGTCCATAGTCTTAAGTCTTATTGGTGAAGCTGACTAATAGCCAACTTGTATAGTTAGGATCTACAAGGTTGCAACATTTTTTTTTTAATAAGTTTCCACCGAGCGATTGGTTTTTATTCATGGATCGACAAATAAGAATTAATCGTTCGATGAGTAGGCTGCATTCCGAAACACATAAAAAAAAAGTGTTGCAATCTTTTAGACCTTGACTATATGATTAACGCTAATTAGTCAACTTTATCGATTACTGAGACTGAGACTTCCGACTATATTGTAGAATCAGCATAGAGATGTTTAGAATGCATTCTAAACATCTCCATTTATTGAGCGGAGCATATTAGCATCCTATGTGATATGGTGTAGTATGATATAGCATTATTTCATGCCTGATTTCCTTGCACGCGCTAATCAAAACATTAAGAAACAGTTACGTGATTGATTAGTGTAGCATAAAACAGATGTATAAGGATATGTTCTGAGTTACGCATGAAGCGCATAATGTATTTTAATATTTTATCTTTCTTTACTATTTAGTGAACAAGGACATGCTCTTCGTGCATAACTCGGAACGCACCCTAAGTTAAAGTTGTTATCTTTTTCTCCTCTGTTCTCTTCTTTAGTTTGTGGCTCGCATGTACAATACAATAGATTAATTCGGTCAATTGATTAGATTAATTGATTGATTGATTGATTCGGCCAATTTCTATACGTCGCTATGCAACTGAGCCACCATAAGTGCCACCTTCGTGTAAACATTTATTTATTTATGCTTTTACTTTTTTTTATTTATGCAGGTCTTTAAGCAACGAATCATGCATTGGTCAAAATGCAAAGAAGTAAACATGAAAATCATGCATCGTGTACGGTTAGCTTATAACTTTACGAAATGCTTTATAAAACCTCGGTCAATAAATTCGTAATTTGATCGAAAAGGATGTAATTTTTAATGATCTCATTGAATGATTCACATTGAATTGACGTTATATATGTATAATACTTCAACATGATTCTTAGAGTATTTTATTAATTAATTAAAATGGAAAAATATTGCAAATTTCAGTAATTAAAAATTTTAATTAATTAAAAATACTTTACTTAATTATTGGTTAATTAAAGGTATATTAATGACTGTTATCATTGAAAAAAAAATATTCTAAGAATTTGTGATCTTTTGTGACTCCGGTTCTGTACGCAATAATATGTACACATATCCACATGCTAAGAAAAGGGCCAAAGTAGTATAGTAGTTAGTAGAATTGCAAACATAGAGTTCAAGCGATAGAACAATTCTAACTGTAGTTAGTGACCTATGTGATTAACATTATTTAACGTATGCTATATGTCATTACGTCAAGCGATAACGACCATAAATTACATAGACTTTCATTTACGCACAATTGCGCCGCATTAATTTCTGTCATCGCACCCATACGTACTGTGACACACTCTGTCAGTGACGATTTTCACAAATTCCTCGTCGTCTCGAATACACTACCGGTGTGTGTTCTTGTGAAATATTTCTAATATGCATTCCTGTAAAAACTGGTTTTTAAAATCACTTCATAAATGTGTTTATTTTTTTTATCTGTTATCCTGTTTATGTTAACGAGATAATTATCTACTTAGGTCGTTTATTTTTACAAGTTGCTATATGCACGTTCTTTCTTTCTCCTTTCGTCTTTCTTCTTTTTTTGTCGTCTTTATATTTTAATGAAACTAATTGTTAATTTACTTGCAATCGTAATATGTAAAGAAGTGTTTAAAACGTCTAAGTGTGTAAAATCGAAGGCAAGAATCCTGATCTTCAACAGGAATGTAAAAAAAAAAATATAGAAGCCTCTCATGTTTGAGGATAAAAACGTTTTGAGTAAAACCAAAGAAAATTTCACGCATAAAATCGATCCAATTAAGAAGCGATAAAAAAGCTTTTTCTAATCGATGTTTCGAAATCGCAGATGGTCCACGCAAGCTGGTGGTATTACTTTTCGAAATTTACCGAATTCATGGACACGGTACGTAAAGTGATCTAAATGTTCCCTCTTACCGGCATGTGTGATTTATATTTCACGGGGCTAATCGTGCGCATTTTCTTCCAGATCTTTTTCGTGTTAAGAAAGAAGAATAATCACGTATCCACGCTGCATGTGATCCATCATGGTTGCATGCCCATGTCGGTCTGGTTCGGTGTCAAGTTCACACCAGGTAAGTAGAAAATTGTATGTTTATGCAATTCCTTTATTCATTTGTTGCAAAAACTCAGCTGATTTTGCAAAACTAATTTGTGCCAATGTCGCAAAAACGATCCTTCGCGATGCCCTCGGCATCTAAGAGCTTTCCTTATACATACATATGGGTCGAAAACGAATATATTGTTACGAAAACAGATAATGACTAGTTTTTTTTGGAGAGAAAATTTGTTTATCTTTTACATACATATTATCATTTTAGAGCTCGTCATTTGTCACATTTGGAATTTAAATTTATTTATTTATGTGCTTTTTAATAAGAAACTGGTTTTCGGGTATCGATAAAAATCGATAATATAATTGTTTTTACTAAATTACAGACTTGTGTTATTCGTTTTCATAAGAAAACAATATGCTAATTTTTTGTTTTCATAAACAAATTTTATGCTGATTTAGCAATTAATTTGCTAAACGATACACTTGGATTATCGAATAAACTATTGTACTTGGATGTAACTTAACCCTCAACTCTCGTTTTAGAGTCTTAATTTACATATCTGGCAAGTCACTCACGGAATTTTTTACTGATTCTATAATTATCACAAATGGAAAATTTTTTTTTAATGAAATATGTAGAAGAATATATAGAATCGAAATATCATAATATAAAAAGATTTTGACAATAATTAAAAAGTTATGCAAAAACAAATACTAAAGAACAATTTGTGAAAAGAGTGCAATAATCAGGTTTTTTTTTTTCAAAAAATTATATCTTTATGATAAAAAAATACAGGTAAAAATAAGTATATATATATATATATATA